CTGAATTACAAATAATAAACCGTACGGTTTTCTGCTCTCTCTCTCTCTCTCTGCCAGGCATCCCTGTTGACAAGCCACATGGAGATACACTGATGGAGCTAGAGCCCTGGAGCGGGAGGAGCCACATGAAGACCCACACCAGCGCTGAGATCCTTCCATCACCACTTGATCTACAAGACTTTCTACCCACTGGCCTGTGCTCTTCCTGCAGTCGGCATTATTACATGGCTGCTTGAGTCTAAAGAGGAGTTTTGGGACTAGTATTGGACATAAGGGCTAATATTGGACGTATGGACTTGACCTGGACTGGGCTGGGATGTTTCTCAATATTCAATTGCTCTTTTACATCAAGCTCTTTCTTATACACGAGTGTCTAATGAATTTGTTTCTCTAGTCCACCTGGACTGACATGTTACAAACCAAAAATACAGAAAATTTTGCAAACCAAATCAGGGCCAACCTGCATCATCGAGGGGATCCACAGACAGAGTGTTAACTGTTCCAGTCAGATTTATGTCTTTGATCTTCTAGACTCATGTCTCCAAAGCACCCTGTGTAGTAGCCACTTCCCTCCCTCCCACAACTGTAGAGAAAGGGAGTTCTCTGGAAGCTTATTACTGATGTAGTTTTAAATTACTCTTAACCCTGCCATCATTCAAATAAACATTGGAAACCATTTGATGTGTATCACAATGTTTTTTCTGTATATAAAATAAAATTATAATGCAGATATTATTTTATAAGTATTATACTAATCTTAAAGCATCAAAAACATTTGATGTCATTAAATACTATTCTACATTACTCATAGTGGTTATTTAATATTTTGCTGTTACAGGATGATTTATGTAATTAAACTTAAAGAGTTGCTAGAAATCAGAGTCAAATGATACTGTGAAGTTTTTTGTTGTTGTAAATGTAGGCTGTTTTCGTATTTGTTTTTCATAAAAATGTTTTCATATATTCATGATTGTAGTCTTAGAAAATTCTGAAAGTAAAGCATCTGTATTAAAAATAAGACATTCATTTGTTTTAAAGTATTTTGATTAAGTATTTGCATGTGATTTTTCCATAGCTTTTAACTTTAGGATCTCCTCAAAGTTTAAAGATAATCCTAAAGCCATTTATGAAGATAGACAGGGCTAGAAATAAGGGTTTGTTGGAAAGAATTGGGAAATCAGACCCTTTTGCAGTTGCGTTCAAGCCCAAGCAGTGTTTTCGTCTCAGGCAAGAGAAAGATTAGGAAACAGTCATGTGTTGGTTAATTTTATGAGTCAACGTGCCCAACGCTAGACGAATTGCTGTCCTATAATATAATCCAGCGTAATATAATATAATCACCTTCCACATTCTTTGTTGGTATAATGTAATCAAGCCATCAGATCCAAATGTAGTTTCCATAGAGTATAATCTGCTTTCAGACTGTAAATAGACATGTTATAGAACTTTCACTCTCTTGCTCTCATTGTTGTGCACTTTTTCTGTCATCTGACCTATGAATCATGAGAAGTAAACCTCGTGTTTCAGTCTGTTCCCTAATCAACATATTTTGGGCTTGCCAGAGTGTGTTAAATTGGGTTGTCTAAAGAAAAGCAATGACACTCATACATGAGAAGGCATCCCAACCCAGTCTAACTCAAGTCCATGGATTCGAAGCTATTTGGGACCATCATCAGACTCATGTAGCCGCAGGCCAATGGAGCAGAAAGGAGAAGTGGGAAGCAGATAGATCAGAGGCCAGTGGATGCAGAGTCACGTAAACTCAAGATTCGTGGAAACATGGCAGAATTACGACAGCTCTCCAAGTCAGCAGCCCACAAGAGGCTGCTCCTTGGGAAAGACAAATGGCCCTGGCAAGGAGGAAGGGGAAGGGCAAGAGGGAGAAGTTCTCGATCTCTCTTATTACAAGGTCACACTCCAAGGAG